GCTGGCCTCTCCAGTTCCATGAGCCAGCTGGGGGCCCATTCGTCTCTTGAGAGAGCGGTAGCGGCCAACTCCAGGCCACCGGTCAACACTGCTGCATGGGGAACAGTCTCGAGACCAGTGCCTGGGTTAAGGGTTGACCCAACTGTGGGTGTGCAGGTGAAGGGCAGGTCGTTTCCTCACCTGCTGGCCCGCTCATTCTCTCTCCCTGTTGCACACTCCGCCTTAGAGCTGGACTCGCCAGATGCAGCCATCCATGGAGAATCCCTTTCTGGATCCGAGTCTCCTTTTGACTCCAGATCAGACGGTTCCTCGGACTCCATGTCTTTCCTGGCATTCCACCGGTTGCAGCCTTGCCGCACTGTCAGCAGCATGGAGGAGGACGGAGTGAGAGCCAAAAGCACACAACCAAAGGACAAACCGATTCAAGCAGAGAAATGTGGACCTGTAGCAAAGTACAGCCACAGACGTACACCTCCCCCTCTACCCCAAGTCCTCCTTCCTTCTCATCCCCTCAACATCGCCTCCTCAGTCAGCTGCCAGCTGCTGGATTTTTTCGGGGAGAACCTGGCATACATTGATGAGTCCTCAGACACACTGAGCGACCGTGCCCAGCCAGCAGCAGGGGAGGAACAGAGGAGACGGCCACGAAAGCCCAAGAGGAGGAGCATGAAGAGGCAGCTGTCGCACAAGTTGAGCCCCCTGCAGGTGCGGAGCCCCACTGGTGACATGCAGCCACCATCCAATCCCCCTACACCCCCTCCAGACTGTTCTGTTTCAGACCTGCCCAGATTAGAGAAACACACAGATTCAGATCCTACACTCTGACAGCCGCCAAACTCACAACATGGTGCCAAAGTCGAGAAGTGATGGAGCATAATACTCCGAAAAAGGCTGCGGGTTGATAGCGAACCTTAAAGTCCTCTCACATACAACATACACACCATATCCTAATCTCACTTTACAAATGCAGCTGATATTGCCACAAATTGGCTTTGTTCCTCAGCGATGTGGCAAAACAACATTTATTCAGTTCAGGAATCCCTTTAAAAGAGGCTGAACGATAGATGAGTCACGACTGCTTTTCATCACTGAGACCTCAACATGATCTCAGTACATGTGGCTCAACAAATTTACTGTTAGTTACAGTAGACTGTTTGCTTCAATTTGTCAAACACCAAAAAAAAATGCTTCTCTGGAAATGTCAGTTTTTAAAAAGGGATTTTAAAATAAATCCACAGAACAAGAGAAATGGGGCTTTTAAATGAGGGAATCATGCTTCCTTTTAAAACTGACCACACATGGTGTAAACAGTTCAGTCATAGGTTTCAGTGGTTTCAGAAGGCAACGAGTCACATCATTATCCAGACATTATTACATATAATTATCTGCTTTGGCGATCTTTCAGCCACAGAACTCAACCGATTCTCAGCAGACATATTCTAAAATCTCAGATTTAAGCAGGCTTGGTGAGGCTAACTTTTGGCAACTGACTAAAAGCTCAAAGTGACTGCAAGGTTTCCCCCCCACTGTTTAATAACTGAGGCAGAACACCCTTCTGGAAAAAGACCATTTGTGTTAAAATAAAGTCTATAGTTTCATGAGATAAAATAAATGTTTAGGCAGCAATATACCACTAAATTTATCACAAGGCACAGTGAGTCAGGATCTGTGTGTTTTACCACCTCCGACAAAAATAATTCCAATGAAAAACCCTGCAATGGGTGGAGAACCCGAACCACAACAACAACGCATCAGCATAAAGTGCGGCGGCGCAATCGTTCACCCTCAGACCAGCATCATACATATCCCAACTATTGAAAACTTTCTTCAAGATAGAAGCCGTCCCGCTGTTTGAGGAATGAAGCACGTGCAAAACTATTTAAAGTTTCTTTGATCTGCTCATTCATGAATCAGCTCTGGAATATTAATGGCTAAAAAGAGTAAAAGAAGTCAAGTGCCTTTAAGTCACTTTTGACAAGATCCTGCTTTTTATCCATTTCATTATTGTACTACTTCTTTGCCACAGAAATAACCATGCTTATTTTTCTAATTGTATACATGCTGTATTCTTTAGGCCTCATTTACAAATATAATACTCGGTGTCTTTTGGTGCACAACAGCGATTGTGCACAGAAACTTTACACAAAAGCTCTACAGGACACCTTTACATTGTACAAAGCAAACAGCGCTTATGCAGTGACAGTGACTGATATAAAACCAAACCTGTGTCTCAGATTTATATTTGCTTACTTCTGTTTTTGTGTGTTCACTCTAGAAAAGTGACAAAACTCAGAACAGCCAACAGTCATTATAACAAAAGTTGATCTTTGAGTGCACTTTTGTTCCACAGTGTGGTTCAAGAAGGAAAAAAAAGAGTTCTAGTCCGAGGCAGTAAACATTTTAAGTAAATTGTGAATGGTGGTGGAACGGTTCCAGAAAGATCCTTTAAAAAAAATTCACAATTTAAATCAGTATTACATCTCTATAAAGACATATTGCCTTCTTTGTACATTTTAATATAGCACTTTGGTTGATGTATAATTTCCTTACAATAAAAACTGTAGAGTATGTCCGTTTCTAACAGAAAAACAGAGTACTATAAAATATAAAAGCCAGCAGTAAGCAGTATAAAACCAGGACACAGTCTGTTATTTTCAAACCTTTGTCCACCACAGAGCAGATGATTTGAAATGACCTGAATGAACTCAGCTCTTGGTGGATGTGAAATAAAAGGCCAGTTCCTGCTTACTCAGAAGAACCAGGAAGTACTACATGAGGCTACTGTGGCGTTTTGCCCTTGACCAGGGCCAAAATAAGTAACTGACTGAATATATATATGCAAATTCAGGTTCCTGCATATTTTGTCATTTGTTGACACAGGGCTGGAAGGATATTCATAAGACCGTACTGGTGTCCTAACCACAACCCAGAAGTAATAGTCATTATCTGTCTCACTCCTGACCTATAATATATTTACTCCTCATTTTCTTTTAACACTTTTTTTTATATGCAATAAAAGAGGAGGAGGAGAGTCAAGTTATTTTACTTGTGACTCACTCATGACTGAAGATTTCATCAGTTTCACACACAAATCTTAAATTTCAGATACTTAAAGCTACTCTAACAAAACAAACCATAAGCAACTCCTAACCGCTCTCATCAAATTCTGTTTCCTAGCAACAGTGTATACTATGGGTGCCTGTTCAGGACAAGCTATATAAAATGCAGGCTTCACTCCAAACCTAGCCGACTGAGTAAAGTTGCCAGTCCAGTAGAACGGTCTGGTTACTGCTCATGTGACACAAAGTACCAATGTTACACAAAGCTCGAATTACTTCCAAATTAAGATAACATTGATTCATTACAAAGGTAAAATACAACCATGCTAGGTTACTAATGGTACCAAACCAAACATTCGCTTTAGATGATAACGCACCCAGTAGGAAGAATGCCACGCCTCAATTAAATTTGACTTCTCTGACTACTTTTAACACACATGGCTTTGGCCTTTTGTTATTAACTGCTTCATTTGCATAGTGTATTTTGATGACATTGCAGCACTTGCAGAACTATAATTGCACTATTATAGTATTTATTATTATTTTACAGTCATAAGAAAAATGAATGGCACCGTTTGCAGTTTTCTGGTTTCCTGCATAAATAAATAACCTCAAGTAAGCGCTTGTGGATTAGACCTGCACAACAGTCAGGAGGAATTTTGGACCATTCTTCCTGACAGAACTGCTTCAGCTCAGCCGTATTCTTAGGTTTACTAACACCTGACTCCAGTTGACATTTTAGCGACATTACTTTTTCCACAATCACTTTGTATGTTTACTGGGTGTGTTCAATAAAGACACAGAACTCCATCTGCAGAAAACCAGGAAATTGCAAACAGTGTCATTACTTTTTTTGCAACTGTATATTAGTATCCTGTAATATATTTTTTCTTAATTTAATGATTTTTTTTTTTAACTGAACTACTCTCTGTGCTTTTAAATTTCCCCTAGGGGACAAATAAGGTTATTTGAATTGTATTGAATGTAACAATCACAGTGGATTATTTTGCACCAAATGTTTTTAATACAACAAGTACATTTAAAATAAACTTATGTTGTACTTAAGTGACACTAACAATGCAGGACTTTTAAAGCAGAGTACTTTTACTTGGATTAATACTTTTACTTAAGTAGAGGATCTGAATACTTCCACCACCACTGCCTGAATCTAGCTTAGTTGTTTTTCTGTCATGCAAAACATAAATACGCCAAATAGCATTTAAACAATACAACTTCTAAAAACACATTAAAAATTGAAAGAAAATCACCAGTTATAATATGCATATGCTCTATAAATATACATTAGTTTTTCTAATTTTCTAATTCAAGTCTACTTTTGTCTATAATGTTGCCTGTTAATTCAGTTATGTTTGATATGCATATGACTTTCACCTTTTCAGTAAATTCAACTCAACACTGATTTTAACTGATTGCTGCTTTTTTTAAACTTGGAATTGAATCAGTCTGAACTTAAGGAGAAGAATCACAGAAACGTCGCCCTCGTCTGTTTAAGAAGAGGACAGCCAGGCCGTTGTGGGTTTGGCCTCCCATCTATTTTGTCCCAGTAGGGCCTCAAGTAACACTCCGGTCTCCAACTCGAAGTGCTCGAAGAATATGGCTTTAATAATGCTGAGGCTGCAGATCAGTATCTTCGGTTTACTCCTGTGTCTCATTACCACACGGCTGCTTATATAACTTTTATAGTATGTTGTGTTTATACTGTTGCCCAGGAGAGCTGTACCTTAATTTAACTGCCAGAAATAAATAGGAATGATTTCAATCTAGTTCTGGCTTCTTGTCCAGTCCTGTAATGTGAGCTACAGACGGGAGACAAATTAAAGGGAGAAACCAACATAAAGTGTCTTAGTAAGGTGTTGGGCCACCACCACACCTTCAGGGCACTTTGGCATTGGTTCTATAAGTCTCTGGACTCTACTGGATGGAAGAACACCATTCCTCCAAAAGATATTACTGCATTTGTTGTCAACTGGGTTAAGATCTGGCAACCGCAAAGTCCACCACATATGATCCACATCATTTTCATACTCGAACCATTCAGTGACCCCTTGTGCCTTATGGATGTGGGCATTGCCATCCTAGAAGAGACCACTGATTTATTTTGGATATTTCCTTTTTAATTTGTCACCCATCTCTATATGTGAACTTTTTCTTACATTTTTGGACAGTATGGGAAGGGTGAGTATGTCAAGAGCTGAGCCACGATGTATTTTCTTATATGGAGGCTATACGAAACTGATATATGTATGTATGGGTGTGCTTCTGGTGCCTTGAGGGTCTATGCATACATTCCCTCTGAAGGTCAAAGGCACAGACATGGTTTATGAAGAAGGGTGTGTGTGTGTGAGAGAGAGAGACCGGGGGTCAATATCCACAACAGACTTCCCTTCCAAAGACAGTAGGACCCAGTGTGAGTCAGAGCAAGGCACTCCACTGTGGGATAAGTACAGGTTGGATATAGCAAGGGGTAGTTAAGTGGAAAAGACTAACAGATGCTGGGGCTAGTTTACTCAGGGGGGAGGGAGCCTCGCCACAGCTCAATCACTAGCATCCCAACACACAAAGAGTGAGGTTGCATTCTCACTGTGGCTTAGGAAACAAATTTTTACTGCGATAGCTGGAAAACAGCTTGTATCTCTTTAAGCTATTTTAACAGCAGAAGCAGCCTGAATAAAAACCTGACTGTTCAGTAAAGACAGATTTATCTCTAACAGCTGCTGAAACATTAAAGGCGCATTAACATTTTACACATCTGATAAATCAAGTGAAAATGGGACAGGATGTGGTGTCAGCTCCACGACAGAGTGCCACCTACAATCCTTTTGCGGTTATTCCAACTTCTCTACCCTGTGTTGTCAAAATACAGCCCTGCCTGCCCCCGAGCGAAGATTATAAGAAACGTTTTTCAAACAAGTTTTAAAATGAGAAGTCATTTCCACAGCCAGGCATGGCTGAGCTCTCGTCAGCTAAGAGTCTAAAACAATGGCTGCCAGGCTGAAGTAGTCACGTTTTTTGCACAGAGAAAGTGGGACAAAGAAAGAGCAAAAACCAGGGTTAATATCGCTTTGACTTTTTGAGATGGGGAAAGTTAAAAACAGTCAAAGGACTCGAGTTTGATTCAGATGCAGCCAGATACTCGAGTACACGAAGCCAGGACTTCAGGAGAAATAAGTAACAGTGATCTGCATTGTTTGATCAACATAAAATACCAACTTCTCCCAGCAAATGCTACCGCAAACCACGTCTGTGTTGACCAAAGGTGATGGATACATCAGTCATTCTCTGAACAGAAAACACACGTACACAGTGGCAGACTGAATAATGAACTGAAAACAAAGTGTCTGCTTATCAGGCTACCAAACAGTCAGCTACATTTACTTCGTCTGAACTGGGACGGAGGTGTAAACATCAGACACAGATTTCTAAAAACATGGGCAGGTCAAACCAAACTGTCTGCATGACCCGACGGCATTAAACACTGTGCTTCTGTCTTTGGACCATCCCTTTAATACATCTTGCACAGTGATTTAAGATGTTTGAGTTATACAGTGTTACTTTACCCAGCACTTGCCAGCCAATCAGAACTGAGTATTTCCTGCGGCCATGCTAGAACTGCATGCATAAATGCAAGAAGACAACTGGCTCTTGATACATCCACAACCAGATGTTGCTGTAGCAACCTTGTATTTGTCAGACTGGACCGCTTCCTATTCAACTGAAACTTTAGAGTCAGCCAGGTTTTCAACACACCCACACCCCAAAATATAAAACATCAGCAGGGTCACAGAGAGAACATCTACCGGCAGATGTTTAAAAAATTAAAACGCACAACACAATCCAGGGAGTATTTTTTGTGCTCTCACACATGACCTCACCAGCCACACACACACACACACACACACACACAACACACCCAGTCACCCTCTGTCTCTCTCACACACAAACCACTGGCATACCAGAGAGCCTATATTTAAAATACGCCTGGGGATGTTTTTTATTTTCAGCCATTCAGACGTTCTATCAAAAGTGGTGAATGCGGATACTTGGGTGTAGAGAGCAACTCGGTGTGTGCAGGAGTGAATCAGCGAGACTGATGGTAAACATAGGTAAGAATATAATCACAGCATAGGAAAAGCAACAAGTCAACTGCTTTTTACAATAAGATAATGACTACACATTCAGAAGATGTGACACAAAGAGTTACAAATTTGCTAAGGCTGCAAAATACCACCTTCCAAACTTGTAGCTGTTCCAAATACGGCCAAATCATCCCACGTTTCATTTTCAAAGCCTGTTTTCTCCTTCTCTCCTCCCACCACAAATCCCAGAACCTCAAGCATCAGAGAGAGAGAGACAGAAGAGATGAGGGGAGCATTTAAATCTAGCGTTCCGTGAGCGGTCGGGTTGGTGTCTGGAAATCTTTCACATCCTGTTTATGCCGGGCAGATTTCAGTCCGGGACCGCACGGACCTGGCAGGGGCCTCAGCTTGGACACAGCTCCTCTCTCTCTTTTCTATCTGCTCCCTGCCTCCCTCGCCTACAGATCTCCATCTGCAAACCTTTCCACGCTGCCTCCTTCCCTATCAACACCTTCAAACCTAAAGCAAACAAGCATCCTCGTCCAGCTCGCACTGCTGCCCACGCCCGCAGGAATATGAATGAGGTGCAATCAAAAAGTCTTATGTAGCAGGCAGAGCAAATGTGGCCAAATCAAACACCTTCTTTTATTAAGTACAGGTTTAATACAGCTACAGTACGTTTTCATATTTACAGTACAGTATCCTGCATTAGAAGGAAAGTTCCACAGAATAAAGAAAACGGTGGGAGCTGTTTTCATGCCTGTAAATAATAAGAGCAAAACTGATATTTGGGGTGAGGCAATGTAAAAAAATAACATCTCAAAAGTCAGCTGAAGGTGTTGACACAGCAAAGATTAATGAATAAAGGATCCGTCTGTCCTCTCGTCTTTATTGTCCCCCAGAGTGAAGCAGTTTGTAGTTTTAGTCCTATAACCACCATCCTCCTCTTTGCCCGCACCCCACCTCACCTCTTCTTGTGAACTGGATTCCCTCAGCGGCATTTGCAGGATTTGACCACCATGTTGGAGAGTTGCTCAACACGCGGTGTGCGACCTATGAAGTACATGATGGTGAGGGGCTCCAGGTCCTGAGGAACACAGCAGGGTGAAGCGGAGGCCTCAGGGTTCAGCTTGTTGTACAGGGGCAGGATCTGAGCAGAAATAAAGGGGTGTTAAAGGCCCTGAAGACATTTTCTCAGTTCATTACAGTGAATGATTAGATCCCACATGAACATGATATTAATAAACACAGTTTAGGTTATTTCAATGCCCCCACCATAGGGCACAAGGGGTCACTGAATGGTTTGATGTGCATGATAATGGTGTAAATCATATGTTATGGACTTCACAGTCACCAGCACTCAACCCAACTGAGCACCTATGGGAGATTTTGAACCCACATGTTAGATGGTATCTCCACCACCACCATCAAAACACCAAATGAGGGAATACCTTCTGGAAAAAAGGTGTTCATCCCTCCAGTAGAGTTCAGAGACTTGTAGGTGCACTGAAGATGTTATGGTGGTATGTGGTGGCCCACCACCTACAGATACACCCTATGTTTGTTTTTCCTTTCATTTGTATGTTTGGCACAATCAGGATTTAACAACATTTGAATCAAAATGAGATGACAGCTGTGGGGTTGTTTCCAGCCCATGGTTAATTCTACATGTTGGGAAACAAGCTTATTCACTGTTCTTAGGAGAGTCAGAGAAAAAACCCAATGCCACTAAATGTAAGATGAAACTACAGCCTGCAACTTGTTAGCTTAGCATAAAAACTGGAAATCAAGGGTGAAACAGCTAGCCTGAGTCTGTCTAAAGGTAACGAAATCTGCCAACCAGCACATTCACATCTCATTTGTTTAATCTACCAAAAAACTGAAGTCTAAAACTGTGTTATAGTTCTACTGTGGTTAAGTACCAGTCTGTTGGTCAGGGACTACCTTTCTAGAAACTGGTTTCTGTGATAAGACAAGCTAATAGTAATATCAATATTTTCATCTATCAGCAAGAACATGAATACGTATATATCCAAAATGCCACATCTGATTAATTCACACCCACAGAGTTTTAATGAAGCAGGTTGTTTGAGTGTTACATTTCATAAATAATACCTGGGAGTGTCTTTTCTCAACTTGGACTTTCGTTGCTGTGTAATTAGTTACAAATATTAAATAAAAAATAAAAAAAACCTTTTAGGGGATTTTAGAAGAAGGCTGTTCACTGGCTCACCACTGCCTGAAAATGTGTTTCCTTATTTCTCTTTCAAATACTTTAACATGTACGACAAATCTGTCAAAACTCCATCGCACAAAAGTCTGTAACAACTTTAACTGCCAAATAAATATGAAAATCCTACACATCTGTAATTCCAGAGGGCTCTGTCGGAGTCCATGTGGCTACAGGCCAAGCCATAAGCTATGAGACAACCAGGCTGTGTATATGTTCTGAAACAGACCTCTGCGAGGTGACAGCTGGGCTTAACCAATCTGTTGGTTAACCAGCATGAATAATGCACACCTACATTTCAAAGTTTCTGTACATTAAAATTAGACTGAAAGTTGACTGGAGTTTGGCCCAATCCAAGTGTTTTACCAGAGAGGCCGAGGAGTTACTTCAGAAGTTGTTTTTGTTTGGACTGGAGCAGACAGATGGTGATATAATTTGACTGTGACTCTCCCATTTAAATGTCTGTTTAAAACAGGAAAGACACAATCATAGTAACAAGACAAATCTCACCTACCTCTCATCAAGAAAGAAAATAAATGTATTTCCTAAAATGTCAAACTTTTACTTTAAGAAAAACTAATAATCAGAAAATTCTTTTTTCCCCCCATTTACAAAACAGCCTAAAATCTCAAATATTAAGTGTAACAAACATATTCAGTTATGCAAAATCTAAATAAAATAAGAATGACATTGCTTAATTCCTATGAGGAACAACATGATCAAACAAAACAACTAAACCCAATAAGGAATCAGAGCAGGCTTTGGGTGCTCCAGACACATTTCAGCCATAAACCAAAAAGTGTTTTTCTTTGATTTCCAGCCCTGATCATATCTCACTCACCATGTTATAGTGGTTGTTGGCACTCCAGAGGTAAGGACAGTTTCCAGCACAGAAGTTGGCTTTGTAGCCTTTGGGCTCGTGGATCCACTTCCAGTTGAGGTCACGCCTGAAGTCGATGTAAAGCGAGCGCAGGCAGCAGCCCTGGTCTGAGCTGCTGAGGCACACAGAGAGACACACCATGCAGCAAGAAACATTTCAACTCATCATACTCTTCAATGTCTGAGCCAAAGGCCTAAAGTTGGGTCATGGGAAAATGACAACAGGTCACCTTTGAAGAACCAGCCATCACAAGGTAATGATTATGCAAGGCCGCCATAGTTTTCCCCTGCAGCATGAGGTTGTCTAAAAAAAAAAAACGCTGCATGCCTGTTGGCCTGCAGTCTAAACACAGGGTCAATATTGTTAGTTTTGCTGCACAATAGTCTACAAAGTGCGCTGTGGGTCGGGAGGGAAAAAAAATGAAATCCACCACCTCCACAACTAGATTTTGGGAATTATAAAAGTACAAATGGTGGAGCAGCTTCAGGGTTGACAGTCTCACACATGTGGCTGCTGGGTGACCTACCGGGAGCAGGTGGTGGCGTCAGTGGCAGCTGCCCTCTTCTTGCGGTTCTTCTTGGCCGGATTGTCCACTCTGTCGCTGGGCAGCAGGGTGAGGATGAGGTGCGGCGTCTTGGTGCTGAAATCTTTAACCTGACCAGGCTTTCTTATCTGATGAAGCAGCTCGTTATCTACACCTATTGAAACCAGTGCTACAGTTAATATGGTCTCGGGGACCCTGTGTGCTCACAGGGTAAACCTGAGAGGTGACAATGATCAACAAAAAAGGAAACAGAAAAGAAATTCTCTACTATACAAATGCTTGTTATTCCTGGTTTTTTTCTTGTCTTTGCTTTTTTTATTTTGAAACAGATTTTCAGCCTCAGGCTTGTGTACAGAGTTAGAAGCAAAAGCACTGGAACTAGCCCTATTTCACAATGGTAAATAATCTTTTTCAAAATTCCTGGATCTGGATGATGATCAAAATCGACACCAAAATCAAATGAATTACTCCAAAATTCATCAAAATCCATTCATTACTCTTTGAGCTTTGCTGTGAACAGACACAACCAACAAACGCTGGTAAAAACATTACCTCCTTGGCAGACGCAGTGAAACAATGAGAAGGAAAAGAAAGCTCAAGCTATACAAAACCTCAATGTGAGTAGGAAAGGGGGCCACAAACAAAAAAAAATCTGGCATGAGTTATTACTTTTCAGTTCTTATTTGGACAAATGCTGTTGTTCATATGCAGAAAGAGCCACAAATGCACCAGATTCTCTTCAGAATGTTCCTCTAATACAGCTCTGTGTTTTAACATGTTTTCTGTTCTACATGTTTTGACTGTTACTGAACAAATATTACAGTACATGGACAGACAGTGTTTGTCCTGTGCTTCTGATATTTCCTGCACCAGGAATCATTGCATCTGATTTCATGGGTTTCCTGAGTCTTTCTGAGCTACACCAGTACTGAGCTCAAAACAAGCCTGTACTTGTCTCGCAGCATATCAAAAGTCGACATTTTTTCCAAGTGTGGAAAAAAATTGGCTTGGCTCAGCTGCGAGTAAATCCTGAGCAAAGTGCCGTAATTTGGGGCCTAAATGAAGCAACACAGAGAGTGTGCACTAGAACAGCTTCTCCGTTATATGATAGTGTGTAAGTGATTCATGGGTCATTTTGGAGGCGCCTTACAGACGAGTCTCCGATTTATGTTCCCATCTTGTGACCAACATGATGCTTTTAATGGCCTTACAAATGTGCATTTGTCATCTCTATAGTCATTGGAACAAAACTGCTGTTAATGTTTTGGTTAATCAAATCTTTGACACTGTAATATTTGTGTGTGTGTGTTGTGGTTAGCTCAACAGCTGATTTTCTTGGGGCTACAGGTGTGAAAGGTTTCTCTCAAGCAAAACTATAAATACATTTAAAGTTTTAGTGTTGTACAGGCCTTTCTGTGTCGAGTTTCCATGTTCTCCCTGTGCCTGCATGGGTTTTCTTCAGGTGCTCTGGCTTCCTCCCACAGTCAAAAGACATGCAGGCTAGGTTGGCTGGCGACTCTAAATTGCATGCAGGTGTGAGTGCAATTGTGAGGCGTTGTCTCTACATGCCAGCCCTGCGACAGGCTGGCGACTTCTCCAGGGTGTACCTGGATACCTGGATAGCATGATTTACAGGGAAAACAAAAAGAACTGCAACGAACCAGCAAACAGGGCCTCCAGCTCCTCACTCTTGTTGGCAACTATGTTGTTTGTGGATGGGACGAAGGTGCAGCAGGGACAGTGGACGCCCAGCTTCAGACCAAGGTTATTCTCTGACAGCAGGAAGAAGAACAAGGACACATGTGAAGATGAATTACAGAAACAGTTTTGCAGGGGTCATATGGTGAACGGCTTTCTCATGCTGGAGCCGACCTGGATCTGACACCCAGTCCTTAACGGTTTCGGTGACATCCACGGAGACCCAGGCTCCCTTCGCCTTTGGCTGAACGGTGCGGGAGTCAATATAACGTTGAGTGGAGGCGCTCTCTTCATCAGGCTTCAGCAGCTGACACAAACACACAGAAAGACAGGACAGTGATGGAGCTGACAGAGACACACAGTCAAACACAAGCAACACATTGTTTTCTTTTGCCTTCTTCTCCTGTCAGGAATGATTACAGCTTCCACTGTGGTTAAAGGGGGCAATGAGTTTATCTTCCTTAACACATGAATGCCACAGAGCATAGCAGTGTCATTGTAAAAACCAATAATAACCTGCAAACCTTTCATCAGCCATGTAACTCATGTAAACTCCCCTTCTGAGCCAAACTTTTTTCTGTAAGAGGTAGAGTATAAATGTCTCCCTAGAGCCAAAATATAAATTCAGCTTAATTGTTGGAGATTTAGTGTCATTATAGTCTTGTTGGCCTGAAGCCCACAATCCCGAAAGGCCAAATCTACACACACACACACACACACACACACACACACACTATCCCTGGTCACACTTTCCACATACAGAGGAGGAAAGACAAAAACAAGAGAAAGATTCCTGGGTTTGCTTCTGTGATAATAGAATGTGACAAATTGGACCAGAAGTCATTTTAAAGAATGAATTTAGTGTCTGCTTCATAACTGTGGAAACAAAACAGGCTTTATTTGAACATAAGACCTTGATAGGATTTAGTGGAGAGTTTGGTTGTTCTGCTGCACACAAATTGATATAAGGTGTTTCACGGTCGTGTTCTCGCTCCAGCTCTCGTCCCTTGGTGTCACGCTGCTGTTTACCTGATAGATCTCCACTCTCTGCTCTGAAGCCTGGGCCTGTGGGTTGGGAGCTCTGAAGATCCTGAACTCAGCTTTGACCAGGGTGCTGTTGGTCAGGTCAACTCCACTGACGTCAAAATGGATGACTCTGTAGTGGGGGTCAGGCGCTGCTGGCTGCAGCGTATCTAAATGAAAAAGCAGAATGGATGATTAATGCTCTGACAAAATCTCCTGGCACTGTTGGTTAGAACATTCACTGATGCATTGCCTGGGACATACAGTAATTACTGGTGATTAGGAGTGTCTAGTACAAAAATCATAGGTTTAGACAGAGCGAGTAAATGTGTCTGGACTTATGTTTAATAAATATTTAATTGTTGCTTTATGAGTTTTACTCTGTGAAATGCCACCACCTGTAACATCAGAAGCATTTTTTTAAATCTCTCAGATAAGATCAATCAGCACCAAGTTTTGATGCTACTGTAAGTGTTGGAAAACTGAGTGCCTTGCCCAAGGGTACATCTATCTGCTTCTGTTTTATGGTGGAGATGAGAAGCATCCCTGGTGTAAACAGGCAATAACAGCCACTATTTCTGTTGATGCATTATGTGTGCAAATACTGTAATTATGCGAAATTCTAAGGTACTGGTACTTGAGGTTACAATTTTCATTTTGAGACATAATATACTAAGCTACTCTCCATTTCAAATTGAATCTTTGTGCATTTTACTCCATTTAATGGCTCTGACAGCTCCAGATATGAGTTACCTTCCACATAAACGGACAAAGTTTAACTTAATGCTCCTATAATATTACCAATCCCAGCCGGCAATCGGGCAAAGGCGGGGAAGTGAAGGTTATGTACTGTTAGGGTGATTTTTATTCATTTTTTTTCTACCGCTTAGTCCCTGAACGGGGTCACGGGGGGGTGGGGTACACCCTGGACAGGTTGCCAATCCATCGCAGGGTTAACACATAGACGAACAACCACACACACGCACTCCAATGGGCAATTTAGAGACACCAATCAACCTAAGCTGCATGTCTTTGGACTGTGGGAGGAAGCCGGAGTACCTGGAGAGAACCCACGCAAGCACGGGGAGAACTTGCAAACTCCACACAGAAAGGTCCCAGGTGGGGCCCGAACCCAGAACCTTCTCACTGGGAGGTGCTAACCACTGCGCCACCGTGCTGCCCTAGTAGTTACTTTTCATAATAAGAGCAATAAAACCAACAGTTAATCATAACACTTTATTGATCCCTGGAAATTCCCAAGCTACCCAGCGGTGTGTAAAGTACTTCAAATTATATGTGTATATAAGGTCGTTAATATTAGTTCTACCTTATGGTTTTACTTTTACTTAATCTGGCTACTTCTATCCCTACTTGTTCCCAGATGTATCTAAATGGCCATAAGATGATTAAATTGATAAAACTTATTTGTTACATTCACACTAAAACTCCTTAAAATTAAGTATTAGTTGCGCACAGGGCAAAATTCAAAGGGGCATCATTTCTAGTAGGCTATGTTCGTTTCGGGACCTCTGGATCCCTTTCACTGGCCTCTGTGGAGCCCCAACCACATACTGAGAACCCCTTTCATACCTCATACATAGACTCACTTGTGTCGGGGCGGGGGGGCAGCATGTCAATCCTCTGCACCTCTTTGGCGTAATAGTCCTCCTCACTGCTCTCGCGCTCGCACGCCGACTCCGACAGACGCGCACGCTCCTTCAGCAGCTCCCGCGTGCTGTTGTAAAGCAGCATGACCTCCGGGGGCACCGGGACAGGCGGCGGGGCCTCGTCATCATCCGGCGGGCTGCGGATGCGGAGCTTGCTGAGGATCTGGCCTCGGACCGCCTCGATGCGCCGGGACTTCTGCGTGTCCAGGTTGATGGCCTGGCACGTGTTGAGCCCCTCCACCAGCAACACACCGGGAAACCGGAGCAGCAGCAGCAGCGCGAAGCGGGGGAGCCACATTGTGCGGCGAGGAGACGGAGATCTTCCCTGAACGCCCGTGAAGGAAATCCAGCTGAAACAAAGTCACTGTGGTTGGTTGTTACTAAAACTGAGTCTCAAAGCCAAGTGCGAAGAAATGGGTGCCTAACGTGACCAACGCTTAAAACTGCGGGTTAAACCGATTCCTTAAAGCCAAAAAAAATTTCCAACATCCAGTTACAACTGAGTATTTTGGTCAAAGCCACTTGATATGGAAAAGAACAACCACATCTGCCGACTTGACATTTATTCGGCTACGGTAGTTTTGTAGCATTGTTCATCAATGCGCCACAAAGACGCGCTGTCATTTATTCTTTGGAGTCTAAAATTTAGTTTCTAAATCCTAAAAACATTTTGTGGAAAACAAATAGCAGGACCAGGACCCCTGCTTCTAAACGCCAAATGATCCACAGCCACCGAACTCTACTGTGAAAACCTCAGATTTAATGATTGGAAATTTGGCTGAGGCGTCAGTTTCAGTCTGGTGCGCTCAAAAGCTCCGGTGTCGTCCCGTAACGGCGTGTGTGCGCTTTACGCACGTAAAGGTGAAGGTATTTAATTACAGTCTGCCCGGTAAGTTAGGGTTTTATCCGTCTCCGCTGTGCATCTTCGGATAATTCAACAGCTTTCAGGAGAAAAACAGTCACCACAGGGGCTCAGCCCATGTCGCAAATCCTCCAAATAAAAACCTGAACTTACTTCATCTGAAGCAGCAGCAGGGTGCCCGGGCTTTCACCTCCAAAATACCCATGTGTGGAGCAAAAAACTGGCCCATACCCACTTGAAACCCCCACCCAATGAGGTCCTCCCATCCCCAGTTATAGGTAAACAGAGAACAGTCTGCATCAAAATGTAGGAAAAGCTGTTGATTTATGTTGGAAAAACCATGGGGGCTAATATAGCATCAAAACATGGAAAAGGCCAGAGCACATAAAAAGGCTTGATGCAAATATAAAAGACGTCCTTGTGCTGTAATAAAAAAAAGAAGTAATCTCCTGTAAAAAAAAAAAAAAAAAAAAAAAAAAAAAAAAACTCCCTACAGTGAATTACAGAGCCCCAGTTTAAATGAGCTCCAGCCTGGAGTCAGCTGAGCTGAAAACACAAAGACCTGCTGCATGATGCGACTCCATTATTCTGCAGATCCTCTCTGAGAAATGAGTCCCAGACAGAAAGAGTCTGGGAGGGACTGGATGCGAAGAGAGGAGGTGGTGGTGGTGGTGGTGGTGGGGCGGGCTGCCACCAAAATGAAGGGAGTGTGAGTATGTGGGCAAGAGCCATCTTCCTCTCACCAGAGGAGGCACACACACTTCACAATTTGTTCTCTCCACAAAATACTGCACCACCCTCTCTCTGCAGGTAAAACCTACAGAGAGCTTAAAGAATTAGTTCTACATTTTGCAAAACGTTTACTCACTTCCAAATTAAAAATTGGCTGAGAAGATTGATAAATTACCTGAGTCAGTCTGTACAGTCAATATGAAGCGGCAGCTCAGAGCCAGCAGCCAGTTAGCCTGGCTTAGCATAAACACTACAAAATCAACCTACGAGCCTCTGTGAAGCTCACTACTTAACACATGCAATCTGTGTCGTCTTTAAAGAAGGTGAGTGAAAGAAACTGACCATCAATTTTTGTGTCAAACACAGAAAACGTTTGGCAAAAAGAAAAGAATAATCTTGCTCAAGTTCCCCTTACTAGCTTTATCCACAGCTTTTCATCTACTAGACTAGGGATTAACATTAAAAACAGCCACTTGTACAAACTACAAGTTCTCAACTTGTAAACAGCATTCATGGCGACTTCCAAGTCGTAAATAAGACTGGCAAACTTGGATTGTTCTGAAGCTCTGATACGTTTGACTTGGCACTTATTAATAAGGAAGTGGCTGAAAACAAAACAAATATGGACAAGTTAACATCAGCCAGACACTGTTGTTCAGTGTAATCAAACCCACAGTAATTTTGTCTCTGGCACAACCACCTCTGTAATCACACAGCAGTCTTGAGTTGTCTGAACATATGTGGATAACGAGGGGATCTTTCCCATCTCCACCAACTCCCATATGATGTGAAGAAGAGCGCCCTCTGTGGTCACAGAATATGGTCCAACACTGGACAGGAGGTGCTGGCCCACAACAGCCTGGGTTTAACAAATGAGATACAACATGTTTAAATATGCTGGTAGGCAGATTTTAGCAAACTTTGGACAGAACCAGTCCAGACTGTCAGTCATTTTGCTAAGATAACAGATTCTTTCTTGCTGCTTCGTGCTCACCGCATAATGTCAAACAATCATTAAACATCAAAATGTTTAAACATATGATGCTGGAAAGAAGAGCTATCAGTCCAGTTCAGTGATTTCAAAATGCAACTTTAGGCAGGATTTCAGTGTGACTTCCAGTTTAGACTCATTCATGCTGACAGTTAAAGGCTTATCCTAATTTCATTCAATCATGCCACAGACAGCCCATCCCTTTTTATCCTTATCCCCCCAAGCTTTCAATCTAGCTCCTTTCTTTCCCTCTTCAGCCTCATTGTTAATTACAGCTTAGAACTTGGAGAGGACTGTTAATCTGTCAGGGCTGGATTTTATTGCTGCTCTGCTGCATTCCCATTATACCGTTATTATAGCTGCGGGTACAGGCCTGTAATTGCTCTAAGTAGAAGGGAAAGGTAGGAGAGACTCAGGCTGCCTCAAGGCTTCTGGTCAAGGCAACCCCCTCTTTATCGTCTGTCCTGGCAGTGTTTCTAAAAATGATAACACTGCCTGTGAATAAACAGGCTCCTGTTCAAACCTGACTGCTGCACCACCTCAGGCAGCCAGAAACAACTGGAAAGACACTTAATTTGTCTTTGTGGAGCTCAACTTTGTCTTTCAGCAACCTTGAAAAGAGACACACTGTGGGACATCTCAGATCACAGGAGCCCGCCCAGGTGGGGTGGCATGTGCACATGCTGTGATGTGTGGCTGAAAAGAAAAAACAAAGACTTCCTCAAAAACAACTTTTAGCCTGCCTGGTGTTTCTGCCTCTTTTCCTCAAAGCCAAATATAGACAAGCCACTGCCACGTCATCTGGGCCTCAGCACTCTCTTAAACCCAGAGAGAGGGCGAGCTGGGGTTCCCAGCCTCAGTGCACACACGTGGGGTTATATTTTAGCAGGTCTGTAATATAACTGCATCCATATTTTCCACAAAAACCTCCAACAGTTTTGGCTGTCATGGAAATTAGGACAGTTTTATTGAAAAATAAAAAAAAAAGCACAAACAACTACAAAAATAAATACAGATAAAACCACTGGGGGTTACCCTTGAAACCATTTCCATCTGTTACCCTCCAAATCAAATGTTTTTCAGTCCATTGACAACATCGGCCACTTTAAGCTACAACCAACCCAACAGTGTGGCCTGTTTTTCATGGCGCCAACTGAACCAGAGTCCAGCCTCTCTCTGAATACCCACAGTCCCAGTGTGCATCACAACCACTGACATGCTGTCTACACCTCGTCTTCATTCAGCAGCATGTTGGGGATTCCTCGAGAGATCGGAAACTCTCGTCCTGATTCTGGGCACTGCAGGCAGCCCTCTATCACCTCCACCTGCAACACACACACACAACCAAACACAGACGAGAGGTGTGAGTAAATCCAGTGAAAACAGGACAGGACATGGTGTCTCTCAACTATACTACACCCCTCTGTGACACTACTGTGCTTTCGCTGTTCTCCAGCTTCCCTACCCTGTGTTTTCAAAATGCGGTTCATAGATTAGCTTCACCTGCTACCTAGAAAAGGTTGTAAGATGTATTTTTCATAAGTTTGGCTTCTTGACATGGAAAGCATTAAAATCAGCCAAAGGACTCATATTTGATTCAAATGTGGTGTTCTCCCTTCTGGATGTGTTAGCTAACTTTTTGGTAACATTAGCAACCTAGCATGGTCATGATTTTCCGTTTGTATTGAATTAATATGATTTTGACTGAGAGAAATCTGAGCTTTGTGTAAAGTTGGTGCTTTGTATTACATTAGTAGTAACCAGAACGTTCTACTGGACTGTTACAACATCAAATCAGAAAAAGCTGGAAAGCTATATAAAATCCAAATTAAAACTGAGAAGTGATATGAAATTCATCTGTGTTCTGTATTATACTGAAAACAATACAGCAAGACATTACAGTGGAACCTTGGATTGCGAGTAACCCGGTTTGTGTGTTTGGCAAGACGAGCAAAAATTTTGATTCGATATACGAGCGAGGTCTTGCAATACGAGTAGTACGTACACTTTGTGTGCCGAGCGTCATGATGCACGTCACAACTGAGCCGATGGTTCTTGCGCCTCACTCGACTCGTATAGCCAATATCTGTACTGCAACAATGGGCCCCTCATGACAGCCATGATTCTTTTCAAAGGTAAAGTGCAGGTTAATTTGTTTAATTTTTACTTTATACTGTATTTTGTATTACTGTAATCATTTTTATATGGATAAGTGGATGTGGAACGAATCATCTGAGTTTCCATTATTTCTTATGGGGAAATTCGCTTTGATATACGAGTGCTTTGGATTACGAGCAACGTTGCTGGAACGAATTATACTCGCAAACCAAGACTCCACTGTATTTGATGTGATACCTTGTCAGTTTTATTCTTTGTTCAAAATAAACACTCAATTCAATTATTCCTTGTACAGCTAATGCTAGCCTTGAACTGGAGGCTCGAAATCACTCACAAAATGATTAATCATGCAACTCTAGTAAAGAGGTCAGGAGTGACGTATGTCATCGCTTTGTTTTGAGCCCCACTAGACCCTCTAGTGCCTGAAAAGAACTTAATGTAGCTTTACTTTATATTGTATACTTTATACTTTAAAGGCGCAGTTCACAAAAAATGGATTTATAGGGGCATCTAGACATGCAGATGGTTTTTCTATAACATTTCTACCTCGATGCAGACACAATGAAAGTGAAATGAATTTTGTTGCAGTGCAGTTAAAAATATCAGCAGTTCAACTCAATTGTTGTTTAGGTTTGGACTTTTTATGTCCTTTTTTATTTCAGTGAAAGAAACAGTTTAGGAATGTCACAACTACAAAGCCTGAGGCACACTTACACAATGGTTGAGAAGGGGGGGAAAAAAACAAAAAACAAAGAAGCCAGATGTGTACAACTGGCCAAAGAAGTCAGTGAGTAGTCTCAAAACAAGACATCTAGTGAAAGTCAAAGCCTCTGGGAAAACATGTCATGGGTATTAAAAAGATATCAGTCAAAAAACAATCTACCAGATTAACAGAAGACAGTCATTGGTTATAGCATGCACTGGCACATTATTAATAGAAATACAACTACACATTACCAGAACTGACAGGAATGACTGTGAGTGCCTTACCTCTAACAGCACTCTGTGCACTTTCTTCAGGAACTCTTCATTTTTCTCATAATCTGGCACCAGCTCACCTGGCAGATCTTGCCGATGACCCAACTATAGAGGGAAAAGAGACACAGGAATGCTCTACCTTCAGAAGCAAATGTGATATTCTGAGAGTGAATCTGTTGAACTGGACTGGGAAAAAAGATGCACAATGATCTCAGAACTAGCATATCAGTGGATACCAGCTGGGCATTTGTCTACTACTTGCTTTATTCTTTAGGATTCAACATGAAGCTGGTGTGGTCACGAGCATACATGCTATGTACATGTTTAACATATCTTTCACGTTCAAACACTCACATAGGCACCTGCCACTGACATAAAGTAATGTTTGATGCTGTGAGTATTTGTAATGGCAAAAGTCAAAGCAGCATGTTACTGACGGTCACATTGCTGAACAGTCTCTGGTGCAGTCACACTCACCGCCTCTGCAGCCTGGACCAGAGCACACCACTCCAGTTTGGGAATCATCCGGCTGACAAACTCAGGGTTGAATTCCACCTCATTCACCTTCACCTCGGTTGCCTGAAAAAACAAAATACAAAACCTACACATCAGGACGAAACATCACAACCTATTAGTCTGGACTACAGCCAGTCCTCCTCTCCAGACATGTACTACATCTATTCAATGGGATTTTATAAAACAGAACTGTTCTGTTTTAGAAACTACTTTATGTTTACTTGAACATTTAGTTTTTGTTCAAATGGTTACGTGATGTACTGTACCGTATTCATAAGTTTTCCCAAACATTTTGCCCCGCCCCGGATGTAAATAGGGAAGACAAAAAATTATAAGACTCTCGATGTCGGTGTAAGGTAGATAACCCAGTACATGATTTGATTTTGATTTGATTTATTGATTCTTTCAAACATGTAACAACAGTCAGTATGTAATCACACATAATTCCAGACATATCCACAAAAAAAAAGAACTTTTCAAAATGCTTTTACCTAGTACATGCTTGAACGGAGTAGGAAGAAGTCAGACTTATCCAGTCCTACCCCCTAACATCATCTTATCATCATTGGTTTGCAAGCAGTATTACTACATGGATACATATTCTACATCCACACTCCCATCTGATTATCATTAAGCCTGTTCTTGCCCATATCTTGATTGACACATACCTTTATATCTGTGTTTAAACTCAATTTTCTTACTGTTTTTATGTCCATATTTACATGACTTTTAACTACAACCTCAATAGTAAACAAAATTAAGTATTTCTGTCAATTTAAACATTATGCATTTCGTAAAGGCACACTTCACGGTAGAAATGTTGTATTAAATTGTGAAAGACTAATTATTTTCCTTGAAAATATGAGTTAAATGTTACACTACGGGGTGAGTAAGCTAACTTTGTCTTTGCTAGCTTGTTAGCCTCAACGCTAGTATCTCAACGTTAGCTTTAATAGAAGATAGTCACCCTGCCAAAGCAAAAATACCTAAAGGTTACTCTTCCTTCATGTCAGTGCCTAAACGACACATTACATAAAATCTAAGCGCTCTTTTAATGTAACGAAAGCAGCAGCCAGGTGCTTACAGTTTACCTTGATGAGCAGCGGGTACCCTTTAATGACTCCCTTCACGTGAGACGTCAACATATTGTGTGTAAGCAGCTTCATGTTCACAGACTTAAAATTGGAAATAATTGTCACCGGTTCAACAGTATTTTGCCCGTAAGTGTTCGCCGAATGTTAGCTTAGTAACAGTGTACCATCAGTCATCAACATGTAAATCACGCTGGAGTTGTGGACCGGAAGTGGCACTGTTACGTCGCTAAAAAACGTCCCAAAGATTTTGAGACTCATTACATTGGTTCCGTGACTACAGCCCAATATCGATCAGTATGTCGTTTTATAGTTGTTCCTTTACTGTGCCCCACTCTGTCAAACATCCACTTAGGGTCACTGTTATATACCATTAAGAATATTTGTGTGGATGCTGTAAAGCATTGTCTTAAGGATTTTTCTAAACCTTATACCTTTGAAATATATAGCTTTATTTTGAAAGTTTTGCCTCATTCAAATGAATGGGGAAATTCTACTTCAGCATACTTTCAGCTATTTCAGGTATCAAAATGTTCAGCTGTTCAAGGACATTCATGCTTCCATTCAGAATTTTTCTAAATTTCATACTTTTAAAATATTTAGCTTTATTTTGAAAGTTTTGCACCATTCAAATGAATGATGTGGTGCAAAATGTATTAATCAGGATAAGAATCCCTTGATGTCTAAGACCTTTGTTGAGGGCACCCTGGCAAGACGGCAGCATTAAAGTTACAGACAAACTATGATAAACAAGCAGTATACAAACAATTTCAATTCAAAACAATATTAGAAATGTAGGGTTGAACAGCAGAATGTTAAACTGCACAGCCTATCCTTACAGGTATCTAAACTGCAGTTGCATGCAGGCACCCTGATGTTAGAAAGGATACAGTGGATTCTGTAATATACTGTAGACACTGAAAAATGACCTGAGGCTCCCACACACAAAGCCGTCATCTCAGACGTCCGGCGACAGATCCATGAAACTGAATGGTCTGTCACTTCTGGCGTCCGTTTAATTAGGAATCCAAGACAAGTGATGGCTGCTGGTGGTGAAAATGATGGACTTTAAACTGGGGTAATGCTCAGAATTTATTAAGTGTGTGCAAACAACTTTGAAGGAGGGTCTCAAGAGATTTGAAAACTTACTCTAAATGACAAGTCTACAGTGTGAGTGACTGTTAACATAGGACTCTGGGAGCAGTAAGGGGACTTGGATATCTGAGCTATGCAGGCTTAATCCTTACACTCCTCTAGTGACCAATTTATGGCCACTGTGGAGTCTCTTCAGCCTGAGGTACCTAAGGAAAAACTGCCCCAATGCAACCCTAAAAACAGATGTGAACACCTCTAGATTGCCAATTTTCTCCCTCCTTCCTCTTGCAGTCTCCCTCCCACATCTGCCCAGACAAATGGAGCTAAATTAAAGACTGCAATAGCTTTTCCCACTATTTTGAACCAAAATAGTACACAGACAAATGGAGCTAAATTAAAGACTGCAGTAGCTTTTATTCAATATTAAAATACTTTTTCATGATATTGGATGGAAAAGTTCATGAAACAGCATTTCAGCTGTCACAAGACACTAAAATTCATTATTTAAACCTCAAGAATTATTAAAAAAAAAAAAGCTGGTCCATATTAAAGCACTGTGATTTTTTTCACCTATGTTTAGGCCAAAGTACAGATGAAAACAATCACAGTGCTTTAATATGGACAAACTTTTAAATGACTGACATTTTATGTGTCCAAGAAATATTTTTAGTCAAACAAGACCTGGAGCAGCTAAAGTCTCTGCAAAGTGACTTTTTTGGTGCAGGTGAATTCACCACTGACCTTTGGTCTGGGACAGTTAAAGGTAGGATACCTGGTGGTGTTACCATTTTATGGAATAGGAAATATGACCCACAGATTAAAGTAATAAGACCTGGCTGTTGGCATAGTACATCTTGGCTTGATCACTGTATCTGTAAGGCATGCTGATATAGATTCCAATGAGATCGATTATGATCAGTTACTGTATATACTTGTGAGTATAGCTCTATAACATATAAGTGATATTTAACAAGTAAAAACATTAAACAATTTGTTTGATGCCAACTTGATGGTGTATTGTGGTGTTTTCTTTGCATTTTATGTCTGGACTTAATTTGTAATCTCATTTAAGTAATTATATTTGTAATACAAAGGTGAATTAGAATTTTATTTTGCACTTTTCAGAAGTTTGGTCTTGACCATAAAGAGTTTATGTAAAGTGTTTATCATGATGAGCACTTCACCAAACAAATGGCAATGAAGGGGACAGACCCCAGTGGTAGGCAAGAATAGTAGAGAAATACACACTGTCTACTTTTTAATAGCAAAACAAGACTTATTCAAAGTGGTTTAGGTGAAAATGGAGTTTAACTCTGAGTTCAGGGAAAGTCATGTTTTCACCTAACCTGCTTTAACCTGCAGGTTTTTAAATGGTTTTGAATGTTACTACGGTGGCCTGTTAGCTTACAGCACATTGGACTGACAGATTGCGATTTTGAATGTAAACATGCAGAAAGTTGAACTCTGCAGCATTCAGAGCTGTGACGTCATCAACGACATGGCTTTGATCTTCGTGACGTCACCGAGTCTCGCGCAGCAGCTCACCTAATAACTTCAGCTTCACAGGCAATCAGACAACTTCTGAACTTAAACAGAGACACCACGCTGGTGAGCAAGAGAGTTAATACTCAACAAACGAAAGTTAAACAACATCCATTCCGTGAAATACTTCGGTATTCACGTAAAAAGTGATTCTTCCAGTAAAAAAATGGCAAGTTCTACCGATAAACCCCAAACCTGTAAAACCAACATACAGACAGCTCCCACCAACAAGAACATGAACTGCGAAGCCCTTCATGAGGAAATCAGGAGGCTTCAGGGGATGCTGAGCAGGGGCAGAGAGAGTTTTAACTACGAACAGAACTGGAGGACCCAACTTAGCCAAGAGCTAAGTGACACAAAGGAACAGCTGGCTTACCACAAAGCCAAGACTGAATCCTTTATCAAGCAGCAGGTGGAAAGTTTTCACAGTGAGTCTGAGACGAAAAACAAGTCTCACGGTGACACGGTGGAGCACTATCCCCAGCTGATCGACACCCTGAAGGCGGAGATCGGCACCCTGATGGTGGAGAAAACATTTACAATGGGTTGATGAAAAGAGATAAGAGGAAAAGCTGATATCCCATCACTTATTTTCATCTTCAATCTATTTCAGGAATGGAATACATCAAGCAGCACATGGAAGAACCCTCCATAGGTGATGCCACCAGGTCCAGTTCATCAGATGAAGAAGACTTCTTCTCTGTACTGCAATCATCTACAGTTCAGTACAGAACAATTTAGTTATTAGAAAATGATTATATAGATAATGAATGGATGGATGGACTGGTATTCAACAGAAATAAATTGTGAAACTCCAAGACACAAGTGTTTGTGAGGTGCTTACTGTGGCAGGGTACTGGCAGAAAAGGTTATGAAGGGAGGGGACAGAGTGTAATGGTGTTAGGTTGAAAAACAGGTTTACATTTACCAATAGGAAAACTGAATCCAAGTCTAACTGGCAACACAAGAAGATGGATCAGGACCAAAGATGGTCAAAACACAGACAGCTGATCATGGACAGATCTTTAGACCTGGATGGGACAGGACACAGACAGACAGATTCAGGTACAAGTATGGGAAGATGGGGCTCGAATGCAATGACAAATATCAACTATGAAGTAGAGGCAGAAGACTCAAGTTGCCATTTCTAATGACTTATTTACATGTAACAATTCTTACACAGCTTATTTTTGTCAAAATATCAGATTTTTTCCAGTACAATATCCAATCATATGACTCCAACATTTTAAACCTTTTTAATGTTATGTTGAGGCACAGCACTGGCCTAGTTTTTAAAAAAAGTCCACAAGTGACTTGAGACGTGACATAATTATCAATGTTTAACAAACTCTGGGATCTGATGTCACAGTTGTTCATCTGCCCTCCACCCCAACAACCTCCTGGCAACTCTGATGCGGTTTGTGCATCATTTCATTCAAACGTTTTTTTAAATATAATCCAGCTAGTGATTACATTTGTCTCGACAATTTAAATGGGGAAACATTTAATTGTATATAAATATAATTTCTAGGAGACAGGGTTTTGGTTGATTGGCATCAGCGATTTGCAGAGTGGTCATTCACTGTTGTGGCATATTCATACAGTGCAGTAAACCCTGTGTTTGTCCACAGTGGACACCACAATCCGCCCCTGCTGTTCAGCTGATTGTGTTCATGCCAATGCCATTTGCTGCCACAGCTCCCTCCACCACACCAACACCTTCTTCCTCTTCTGTATTGTTGGCTTAGCTAATCTTCACCACTGCTCACATATACTATGAGCTCCTCAAATAGCATCTAGCTGAACAACTGTTTGTTAAAAACAGCTGGTTTCTTGATGTGCCACTGACTGATTAGAGGAAATCAGGTGTACGCGTGTTGATGGGTGAAGCAAAGCACAGAGTCAGGTGATATATGTTTAAACTATATGGACAGCAGCCTAAATGGCTTAAAGGCCTCTGTACTTAGGTGTACAACATAAAACTTAGCTTTTGCACAGGTCTGTTATTTATAAACTGGGAGAATCAGTTCAGCCTTCCCAAAGATCACTCGCTATCCTAACACCTGGCATAGCAGTAGACTGACGCAAGTTATCCTGCTGGAACACAAAGTACCTGAGGCAGAGCATTTGAGCGAGGAGAAATTCTCATAGTACAAGCTTCTGGTCAGTGACTGTCACAGCAGCTGGAGACATGGATTCATACCATTTGGTGTTAAATGCAGGGGTTTGCACTGTGCTCCATCTCTGAAGCCTTGAGCTGGTTTTAGTACTGAGGGGAAATGTAAAAGGAAAGGCCAACTGAGGTGTTGAGAAGCACGTGCCAGAAGAGCAGTTAGCCACCTGGACACAAGCTGAAACCTGATAAAACCTCAGTTGGTTCACGGGGGGAGGATTTTCTGAAGAGGAAAGACCAGAACAGTAACACGAGAGTTGTTGAGAGCAGACCAGATGTACTGTACATTTAACAGATTCTTCTTTTCTCTTCATGTACACAAGAACGCAGTAAAGTTTTAATCAGTAATATAAATGTTACACTGGCATAACATTACTCCCGTCTTGAAATATGCACAGCACTGTACATGGAGGAGCGGACATGCACTATAGCGGGTGAATATGTACAATATAGCATATCTGCAGTTTCTAATTAT